TGTTGGTTGGTTCAAATTTGTATAAAATATAATTTATTCTGCTGGTGTCAATAACTGGCAAGACTCTAGAGATCAACAGGTAAAGTATAGTTCAATATTTATCTAATCACTACAATTGTTGAGACCTTCGAAGATTTAACACAGAAAACATGAAACCAAAGAGCAATTATTGAACAAATAATACTCATTACAAATTGTGTCTGACAAGGTAATCAGAAAAGCTCCAAGTAAATTGCAAATTTTGCCAGACTATTTAAGATGAGTACACCCAGTGCCATAGATTCATAGCAATGTAGTATCACTGAGGCAATCAAGAAACGGTACCAGCGCTCAGAGTTGATGCACATATTTGAAATGCAATCAAAATATATATCCAAGGTTGTGCTATAAAATGCTAAATCTAGTGAGTTACTCCCTTGGTCCAGAAACAAGTGGTACTTGAATATTTTATGTTCATTTGTAAACGGAGAGAGGAATCGGCATAAACTAGGATTTAATACGAGATACTGGATAGGGTATGGCCGGTATGGGAATGAACCAACAACTATAAAGTGTCTTTTATATAGTTGGGACAACTTAACAATTATCAAGAGATAAAACAATGAATTAACTTCATCTCTTATCAAAGGTTATTAAATTCAAGAACAGAACCTAGGTACTTGGAATTTCTACACATACAAACAAAAAACAAAACAGATTTTAAAAAAGTAAACTCATGATTAAAGTACTCTTGTATGAAGTACATAAAAAATCATACTAAATTTGCACGATACTTCATTTAAATAAAATAAAGGTCAGTCACTCAGTCAACTACAAATAAACCCGGATTTAAATAGGCGTTGTAAACCAACAAGAATAGCTTGCTGAACAAATGCAATCTAGCACCCAACTTCAGTACTTGGGTAATTGCAACATCCACTCAAATCATCATAGTCGCCATAAATTCAATGTATATATCAAAGCAAACCATAATCACCAATTCACCATTAGTAATAGCTATGACATCAGTATCTTACTATCTTTCCTTGAGAAAGTTAAGCAATCAACTTTCAAAAGCATTAACATACCAATATACCCCGACTCAACAATCATACCTTAGGACAATGATGAGAAACACCACCAGATACTAAAACACGGCGCTTGTTCCAGAGCAGCCGCCTTCGATTTTCTTCACCTAAGTCACGGCTTTGGAGTTCACATGGTAACATATGGTCTGCAAAGTTGGAAGGGATACAGATTTTCGCGATGTATCCTTGACTAAATGTCAAGAGAAGTGAAATGAATCCCATAACCATCAACTCTGTAATATTTAAACAGCTCCTCAGTAAAAACATCACCCAATGTATAGCTCAATCACAAATTTATAAATTTCAAATACTATCATAAATTCCACTATAATGTACAACAAATATACAGGATATTTCAGTCCGAATTAAAAATTACAGTATTAAATTACTCCAATATAAAATAATATACAGAAAGAATTACCCTCTTTAACCTTGTCTAAGGCCTCATAAAGTGCCCTCTTCTGCTTTTTTGTTAACCACTAAACAATCAAATTCAACCGCAATATCAGCAACAATACTAATCAAATTCAACTACAATTTCAGCAAAAATACTAATAAATCCCTTATTTCAGTACAGTAGAAATTAGGCTAATGTGCAACACCATATATAATATTGTTCAACAAATTTAACAAAACATACAAATTGTAACACCCACATGAAGAAAAATAATATAAACCCATCAATAAAATTCCCCATTTTTTAAATTAGCCAAAAAAAAAAAAAAAAAAAAAAAACCTTTAATTTTACTACCATTAAACAAGAAAAAAAAATGGAGAAAAAGACAAACCGTTCCAACTCTGTGAAGACCCTTTTCCAGAATGAATGAAATGAGAATAATAAAAGCACAAACTCCAGCAACAGCCCAAGTTGGAGTTTGATGAAGCATTCTCTCAGCATCTCCAACTTCCTCTCTATTATTTTTACTACCATGATTTTCATTCTCCATTAAAATCTTGATTTCCCAGATTGTTTTATTTTTTTATGGAATAAAATCAAAAGTTGCAGAATTTGAATAAATTTGCTATAAATTTCAATGATTTAATAGGGTTGATTTATTTCATAAATGACAAAATGGGTCCCAAGAAAATGTAATGGGGATTCGGTTGCAAAAATGAAGAATTCAAAAATGGGTGACAACTGATAGTAGGGACATTTCACACTTTTGAGCATACAAGACTACAAAATCAAAGATATTTCAAGGGTTATAAATTAGGAATTGTAGATTGTATAATTACATACTCAATGTTGAAAATATTTGACAAATGAAAGTGACAAAGTGTAGGGGGAGTTTCTTTAGCCATTCACTCCTTTAATGAAGGGATTTCCTGTCTAATTACTAATTGTCTGTTTTTCATAACGTGGATATTTTGGTACCCGACTACCCAGTACACGAAAGCACTTTTAATTTGAAACTAGATACACTACTATTCACATCTTTTAAATTCTTAACTAGTGAGTGGCGTTGTTCGGGGTATTACTTTTTTTAGTTATGTTACTGCGAATTTTTAAGAGCATTTAATAGTTTGTATATAGTATATGTCTTCAATACTTTGTACTACGTATTATAATAAGTAAAAAATCAGGTGTATGTCAAAGGAAAAAAAAAAAAAGTTAAAATCAGGTGAATAAAACACACCCTAATCTCGAATTCTCAATTAATATTTTAGCATATCAAATAATAGTTTTACCATGCTTAATTTGTAAAGACCGGCATGTGCCGGGCCAACTCTTCAACAATGATGTATTGTTTCCGGGCTTATAACGAAACATTAAAACAATGATGTTTTTGGTTTTACTTTGCAGATTCAACGTTTTGACCTAACTACTTACTTCTCATCAACCAGAATATCTAGTGGAGTAGAAGTAATAAAGGGTCTACACGTCAATTTAACTAACCACTACTCCATGATCATAAATTCTCCATATATAATAAAATAGATTAATCATTTTTTTTAATTTTCCTTATACTTGGTAAGTAGAATACTCCGCAGTTGATAACATTAGGCATTTTTAATAGTTTGATTGATTGTATGTTGTTTGGAAATGATGTTGTAATTTTTACATTTTACATCGTACTTAGGCTCCTTTTATCTTGATGAAAAATGTTTTGCAAGAAAATGATTTTTCCCAATTACTCTTCTAAGTTCAAATTTAAGGGTGGACAATTATTTTTGGCCCTTTTCATTTCTATGGTCTTATATACTCCTTAACTTATCAAAGTGTCCAATATTTAATTTGCATGCAGTTTCAATTGATTACGAAATACTTTGTATCAAACAATCTTAATGTTAAGTGTCCCGTGCAAGATATGCTTTTTTTTTTTAATAATCAATATAGTATGTATAATTATTGATAAGTACTCCATAGTATTTTTAGATATTTACTTTGTACATATTTGTGGGAAAATACTCTTTCATACAGAGTGATGTTAATGGATCAGATTTTGAATGAATTAGGCTTCATTTATAGGGAATCACCACTTACTACAAACGTCATTTATATAAGATATATCAGCACCTACATTTGATATAGAAAAATACCATTATCTTTATCGCTAATATAAATAAAAGGCCAAATGGCAAATACTAGACAATGAAGGTCGTCATTAGATGTCTTGACCTAGGGCCACTATTTCTTGAGTACTAGTATAGAGTTGCACTCTACTGCTAGACAACAAACACTCCATATGGTTCGGATGAAGGAGAAAAATCCACGAGTTCGGGTGAAATTGCCAACTCTTACATTTGTTTATGTATGGAAAAGTAGTGTTACTCTGTACAATGTTAAGGCAATTTCACCTAAATGTTTTCTCAAGTTTATACTGTAATTGAAGAAACAATGGTACAACTCTCTTATCAGTTGTGTATTTTAATGTGTTGGTTGACAAGACTCACAAGAGTGTAATATTACGGAGTAACTCATTATAGGAGTATAAACGTAATAGATACTTTGGTGGAGTTTGTATAACCATTGCTTCCGGGCGCAAAAGATATAGGGGAAGTTATGTTTTGGACTCTCTTAATCAAATCATTTACAATGATTGACTATGGGCCTCTGAAACTTCTGAACATCAGCCCATATAATATAATATATGCACTCTAACTTTGACAATAAATTTTTGATTCATTCCTAATTCTTCTGTAGGTGTCTTGAGTTCCTCACATTGATTTCTTAGAGCATCCCCACTAGTGAGCGAAAAAAATTCTCCTCATTCTCTCTCTACCCGCTTTCTCTCTCTTCCCAACTAAATTTGCTCATTAGCATTTTTAGTGAGCAAAATTTATCCCACTAGTGAGCAAAAAAAAAATGTTCATCAATCTCTCTCCTACTTTTTATCATACCCCACCAATATCTCTCTCTCTTACACATCACCCTATTAATATTTATTATGTTTTGGTTAAATGAATATTTATGGGTACTAATTACAATTATACTTTTATTTAATTTAATACAATTATTAAAAATTCATTCATAATATTGAAATTTAATCGCTAATTAATTATAAATTTAATACAACATAAAATTTAATTAGCGTATGAATACATTTAATACTACAAACCAATAACGAACCTAGATTTTAAACGTACGATTAATACTCTATTAAATTGTAATCTTACGACAAATTTATTTTTTTTACTCATTAATAGAACCATATTTTTGCCAAATATGTTCCACTAAATCCGCTTTTAATTGAACATGAGTGTCTCTATCACGTAGTGACATTCTTCTGTGGACGTACGTGTCGAAATCAACGTTTGGCGGTCGGCCAACATTGAATTCAAAAGGCTCGTTGTTGTTAAATGTAGCACTTGTAGTGGGTCTTGTAATTTACGGGCGATCTTGTTCATAGTACCTTCTTAAAACTTCGGCCCGAGCATAGTTGTGTCGTTCATCTTCGACAATCACGTTGTGCATAATGATACAAGTTTTCATTATGTCACACAATATGTCTTCGTTAAACGCAAGGGAGGTTGTCGTAGAACGGCAAACCTAGCCTGTAAAACCCCAAAAGCTCGTTTAACGTCCTTCCGAGCTGCAACTTGTTTATCAGCAAATAATTTATCCTTTTGAAGTTGTGGAAGTGTTATACCTTGAATAAAAGTAGCCCATTTGGGGTAAATGCCATCTGCTAAGTAATAGCCCAAGTTATACTCATGGTCGTTCACGGTGAAATGAATTGGAGGTGCCCGACCATGAAGAACATCATCAAAGACCAAAGATCGGTAAAGGACATTAAGATCATTACAAGATCCCGGGATCCCAAAGAATGCATGCCAAATCCATAAATCTTGATCTGCAACGGCCTCTAGAATGAGGGTTGCATTTTTATTACGGCCTGCGTATTGCGCTTTCCAAGCCATAGGACAATTCTTCCACTCCCAATGCATGCATTCAATGCTACCTATCATACCGGGAAAACCTCGCATTTCATTTTGATGCAAGATTCTCCTTAAATCTTCGTCGATGGGATTTCTGAGATATTCAGCTTCAAAATGTGTAATAACCCTTTGACAAAAATGTTGCAAAGCCAATCTGGAGATAGTTTCGCCAATGCGCAGATACTCATCCACCGCATCTGGACAGGTACCGTACGCCAACATTCTAATCGCAGCGGTGCATTTCTGCAACGGTGATAACCCAAGCCTTCCAGCTGCATTCCTACGCTGCTGGAAGAATTGATCCCCCTCGACCACCTTGTTCATAATCCTATAAAACAAAGGTCGTTGCATTCGAAATCTACACCGGAATTGTTTGTCGCTATAAACTGGATTACTTGCAAAGTAATCATTAAATAATTGAACATGCCCTTTTTCCCTATCTCTTCTATCCATATCTCCTCTACGTTCTGGAACACATTCAACATCGGATACGGGTTGGGGTTGTGTTTGGTTGTTATACAACAAAGTTGGTAGATGGGTTGTGACAAATTCGTCAACTAAATGATCAAATTCAACGTATTGATCAGAATCAGACGAGCTGGAGGTTGAGCTAATGGAAAACATTGTGTTTGCTGGTTACTTGGGTGTTTGGATATTTTTGAGGAGTTGGATTATATTTGCGTAAGATGGTATCACTATCATTTATAAGCATGAAAACTCAATGACAAGTCCAAAATATGAATGAAAATTCCATGACTGATGAAACATGATTGACAATTCAATGAGTGATGAAACATGATTGACAATTCAATGACACTTAAGATAGTAAAACAGAAAAGAATCTTGACTATTCAAAATACAATTATACAACTGACATGAAAGACATATGACTACTCAATGTCTAATAAGACAAGGGACATGAATACAACTCATAAAAATTAAACTAATTAAAGATTAACTAAGTAAAGAAAGCTAACCTCAAAATAGTACTAATTAAAATTGAACAAAATAAAGATATACTAATTAAAGATAAAATAATTAAACAAATCTAAACTCAGAATACAACTAATTAAAAATAAACTAATTAAAATTGCACAAAATAAAGATAAGCTAATTAAAGATAAACTAATTAAACAAATCTAACCAAATAATACAACTAATTAAAAATAAACTCATTAAGGAAATACAGTCAATTTCTACCGTAGACTAATTGAAGTAACTCGTCCTTGTGGGCCTCTTCAGCTGGAGTGAGTGGTGTTGTCCTTGCTAAAAGTGATTGAAGCATATCAAAATTCATCTTCTTCTCTGCTAAATCAACTTGTTTTTGCTTCCTCTTTTCCTTTTCTCTATCAAGTTCCAACCATTGTTGTCGTAAATTCGCCTCCCTTTCTCTAACCTCAGTACACGCCTTTATCTGCTCACTAATGCTCAATATTGCACTTTCGGAAGCAACTGCTTTGCCCTTACGCTTAGCCTTCGTTTTTTTGACACCGTTTGGGGTAATCCTCCGGACATAAATCCATCAGTACGGATTTCATTCTCACTCTCCGCCCTAGACCTTTTCCCACTTCCACTGCTATCTTCCTCATCATCGGCACCGCAACCCTTTCTTTCCTCTTTTGACAGACCCCATCTTAGTTTAGTCCTCCACTTCAGATCTTTATTAACCATTTCCACTCCATGTGGAAATGCAAAATTATGTTGTGGATTAGAGGAGATATAAAACAACTTGGAAGCGTGTTTAATTCGATCGGCTTCGTTGTAACCACTTCCGCTTTCAGGGAGTTTGCCCGCCTCCTCATAGCAATCAGTCCTCTGTAGCAAATCAGCTGCCATTCTTCTCCAATGTGTCTCCAAACTCTTCATAGGTCTTGGCAGGAGAATATGCGGTTTCTCAGCTTGTAGTTTACAGTAAGCTGCATGAACTTTTCGCCATAGTTCGGATGCCTTTTGGCTCGTACCACGAAGCGCATCATCACTTAGTTCTAGGTAGAACCCAATTAGAGCTTTATCCTCAGCAACCGACCAAATGCGACTCGCTTTGGCAAGTGGTTGATTGGCCGGAATCCTTGGAGGTGGTGGAGGGTACTGTGGTGTCTCCGGAACAGCTTCCTCTTGGCTGACATCGTACTCAGAGTTGCTCCCTTCGGTAACGGGAGGAGTTTGTTGCTAAAAAAAAGTGTTTTCATTGTTGGGAATTTGTGGAGGTGCTGGTTGATGAACAGAATTTTGAGAAGAAGGATTGCCTAATCTTTCTAGGAATAATTGAAAATTTGGACTACTAATGAAATCATCACCTAAATCAGAAAAATGTTGAGCAAGTTGATTGTAATTAGGGTTGTTTGGATCCATTATATTGTATAATAAATTAAAAGCAACAATATATACTTAAGAGGCACACCTAAATTAAAATAAAATAACGTTAATAACATTTTAAATAATTTTCGAGTGCTACAAAAAGTAATTAAATATATATTTTTTTTTGTTGAGAAAAAAAGTAGTTATACTAAAAAATAAAGAGTAATATTAGAAAATGAAAATTTAATATAACTAAACTTGGGAGTAAAAATAATAAAGAGTTTTTTGGATTTTTTAAACTTAAAAAAAATATTGCTACTTAAAATATCATTAATAACGTTTTGAAAAATTATTAAAGTACTAAAAACAGTAATTAAAAATAATAAACCAAAAAAAAAAAAAAACCTTTCTCAACTTTATATTAGAAATTATAACATAAATCTCACTAGAAATGAGATTAAGTGTAATATTGAGTGTTTTTGTGATTTTTGAAATTATACCAAAATATGTCAAAATGGATCTCTATTTGTAGAGAAAAAAAAATATAACCGTTGATGAATTTTTTTTTTAATAATTATAAAACGGCCAAATTACCGTTTTAATTTAATTACCGTTGCTAAACGGTAACATTTTTTTATTGGAGGAACAAGCTGACAGGGACGCGTGTCAGCTTCCCATTCGCTGGACTAACGCGCCCCTGTCAGCAGCTGCAATTATTTTTATTTTTTTGCTTGGCTGCCAACAAAACGCGTCGTTTTGGGGGACATTTCTTCAGACCAAACCCCAAAACTCGTTGTTTTGAGGGTGTCAAAAGCAAAAAAAAATAGTCAGTTAGTACTATTGCTGGGCCCCACGATTTCACTATTCACTTTCATTTTCATTTTTGCTCATAGGATGAGCAAATTTCATTATGCTCATGAGCATATTTTGATTTGCTCATTGGTGGGGGATGAAATATTGCAATTTTGCTCATCAATTTTGCTCATGAGCAAAATTCTCCTCGCTGATGGGAATGCTCTTAGGGCTTGTTTGGCATCAGTTTTGGTTTTCAGTTTTCTGTTTTTTTTTAAAACCAAAAACAGGAAACAAGAAAAAAAAAGTGTTTCCACTTTTCTGTTGTCAGTTTTCAAAATTATCATAATTTTAATAAGTTTATATAATTTTTTATTCATTATTGGACTCATATCATACTTTTAGAAAACAAAAAACCAAAAAACAGAAAACCACAGCAATGCCAAACGAACCCTTAATTTCTAGTGTTTTTTTTTTTTTGAGAGGCTAGTGCCGCTAGTCCAATCTTAGACTTAGGGTCTATTCTGATTTACTGAACTAAACTGAACTGAAATGAATTGTTTATGAGAATAGAAAATTAGAACGGAACTGATTGGAGCTGAACTAATTGGAGTTGAACTAATTGGAGTTGAACTAAACTAAACTGAATTGAAATTAAACAGAAGAGAACAGGCCCTTAGTCAGTTAGTCAATCAAGAATTTAATGTATTTTATGTTAAATAGTTAAAATAAACACTAATAATTGGAATTTTGCAAAATTCCTCTAAATATTTATTTTAAGAATTGACAACACCAATTAAAAATGTCGTAATAAGTTCATGAAAAAATAAAAATATAATTAGAACATACTTAGAGTATGTTCACATTTACTGAACTGAACGGATTGGAGCTTAACTGAATTGATTGGAACTGAACTGGGTTGAAGAAATGAATATTTTATGAGAGAGGGAAATTAGGAGTTGAACTAAATTGAACTGGACTGATTGAAACTGAACTGAATTGAATTGAGTTGAAATGAATATTTTATGAGAGAAAGAGATTAGGAGCTGAACTAAACTGATTGAAATTGAATTGAACTGAACTGAACTGAAATTAAGATGAATTAAATTATGATATTATGTTTGAGTTAAACAACAATAATTATCTGGCAAAAAAAAAAAGTTATAAAATATTACTTGTATGAATTGATTAAAGAGAAGAGTTTGAAGACAATATAATTAAAATCGAAAAGGAAATAAAACTTTTCTCGTCCATACATCAAATACTTGGTAAAAGGCAAGTTAACAACGTAGTTGTAAAAGAGAAAGCATGAAAAACGTGGACACGTTCAAACTAAAACAATGCAGGGATAGTAATGTTGATATATAATTACGAGTATTAATTAGCTGTTTGTCGTCAAAAAAAAAAAAAAAAAAAGTATTAATTAGCTGTTTTACTTTTAGAAATGTCCCATAATAATTACATGTGCTCTATTCCATATTTTCAAGCTAAAATGAAATGAAGGGACGACAATCACCACTTTCCGTAGCAAACATACATAATGTTAATGGTTGATTTTGCGAGGTATGATGCGGTAAAGTGATTTGTTCCCACGGTTGTACTTCAACGAGTTTAACCCAATTCTAATTAATACTGTACTGAATTATTGACTCTATTCTTAAGATATTTTGATTACATATATATCCCTTGCTCATTCCGAATAATTCTTACACATGTTATCAAAATTTACCACTCTGTATTAGAAATGTGTGTAACATCCCTAGGCTAGAGGTGTCAATTCGGATATTTAATTAGGTTGGTTTGGTGAGATCGAGTCAGGTCTATACGAGTAATGCTAAATTCATAGTCCCTATTAGTCGAAAATCTAAATTGTTTTTTAATTCATTCGAATTAGTTTTTGACACCTTTATCAAGTCATTATCATTTGTGCATGCAATGTATACTAACTCAGTCATTTTGGTTGTCAGCGATTCATTATAGGTTTTTTACTTCTTTTTTTTTTTTTTGTTGCATGCAGAAATTCCATTAGAGAACCGATCAAATGGCCCGGTACTTGCAACTTAGGCGGTGATGGATTTGCATGCGGCATGCCTTTTTTGGTCCCCGTTCACACCATACTAAATTAGTGATTGAATCTAATACCCTTAACCTAATTTAATTTGCCCTCAAAAAAATTACAAAAAAAATAATAATAAATTAATTTTGACTTTTAATTCAAGAGAACATAAATTCATCATTACAAACTATATTATTGTTTTCTCTTTTGTGGCTATAAAGGAGGGCCTAATGATTTATTTAAAATGTGATAGCAGACCATTTTTTGGCTCCATAATTATGTGAGGTGGGGATTAAAGAGATCCGGTGTTTGTTAAAAGGGATAGATAGAGATAATGTTGGTGGGAGGGGGATAGAAGAAATCTTGTGGTATTTATGTTGAAGCTTAAGATGATGGTATTTAAAAACGAATACATCAATATTATACCTAAAGTAAGTTAAAAACCATACACATGTGTCATGTAAAAAAAGAAAGAAAG